CACTCACTCGTTCCTTCATTCAGCAAATGTCCACGGGACACCCACTGAGGACGCGGTGGAGAGCGAAGCCGGAGCTGAGCTCCGGTGAGAGGCAGAGGGACGCACACAGGCCAGGAGGTGCGCCCTGAGATGGAGAGCACCGCGAGCGACCAGCAGGACTTCACTGCCTGTTCCCGGCTCGCAGGGGCAGAGAGGGGTCACAGACCGAGGAACGGTCCCTGTTTTACACAGGAGCAAACAGGGCTCCTGGGGGCCTGAGATTCCCAGAGGTCCTGAGAGGCTCCCAGTGACCGGAGCGGCCTGCAGACAGCGGCCACAGCCCCAGACGGTGTCCCTCGGAGACCCCCGCGGCCAGGGATTGCATCCTGCAGGCCCCAGCACAGCTGCTGGAACACCGTGGAGCTCACAAACGCTTCTCTTACAAACCGTGCTGGAAACTCCAGTTTGAAAATTGGCTCCGGTGTGAAAGGGAGAAGGTGGCAGAGCAGGATGGAAAGCGCTCAGAACCGATCAGTTATGCGTGATGTGCGGTGTAGTGATGGAGAGCCTGACGGAGAAGTAGGGATGGGTCAAGAAGAAATGAAGCAAAATGAAAGAAGCCAGCAGGTAATGACCTCCGCAAGAAAGGAAGTGTGGCCAAAACGCGAGGTCTGGCTTGGCAGAAAATAGTGCTCAGATAGCCACCATGGAAATAACACGAACACACATAATGTAAATAACACCAATAAACTTAAAACCATGGATAAACATAGGTTGAAAGGAGAGGGGGGTGTGAAAGGCAAATCTTCCTCACTGATAAAAGAAATGATTTGACCCCTTCCTGGGTGATGTGCAGTATTCGCAGCACTTTACATCCTGAGTTTTCGTAACAATCCAGCAGCCTCGATATTCTGACTACTCTGGTTATAAAGGGGAAAACAGAGGCATCAGGAGGGTAAGTCACTCGCCCAAGGCCACCAGCCAGCAGGAAGGGGGCGGGGCGTCAAGGCCAGGCAGGGGGCTGCAGAGCGATCACGCGCGTGCGCGCGCACACACACACACACACACACACACGAAGCAGCCTGCAACATCAGCCCAGACCTGCCTAAAATGAGCCAAGGAAACAGCAGAAAGAGCAGATGGTTTAGAAACACGGAGGGTAGAAGCAGAAGAAACCCTTAAAGTGGTGGCCACAGGGAAGAGCAGGCCTGAGGGGGAGCAGCATAGGGTCGGAGAATGTTTTATTAGTGCCATTTAAGTTATAGAGAGGCGGAGACATATCCAGGAGGAGGAAATGGGAGTGGGCAGAAGAGGGACATGAGGGAATCGCCCATTCGCTTGCAATGGTGGGGGTCTCTAGCCTGTTGAGGTACAGCACACACTTGTCTAAACTCAGAGAGCGGTACCTTTAAAATCTGTGCAAGACACTGTATGTAAATTTACCTGCAGGAAAAAAAGCACAGCAAATATTGATCTCTAGCTAATGGTGCACATGCTAGGGAGCCTAGAACAGAAATATCCTGATGTTTGCAACTTACTTGCAAAACTTGAGGAAAGAAATGTTATTAATGGATGGAGAAATTGATAGATTCCTAATGGAGCAAAATAGTAACAATTGTCTACCTGCTAAGTGTGTATACAATTGTTCACTGTATGGTGCTTGTTTTTTATTTGAAGGGGAGAGTGCCACAGAGAGATTCTCCATTTGCTGGTTCACTCCCCAAATGGCTGCAATGGGCAGGGCTGGGCCAGGCTGAAGCCAGGAGCCAGGAGCTTCATCCGGGTCTCTCATGTGGGTGCAGGGGCCCAAGCACTTGGACCATCTTCCACTGCTCTCCCAGGTGCATTATTAGTGAGACAGATTGGGAGTGGAGCAGCTGGGACTTGAACCGGCGCTCTGACATAGGATGCTGGCCTTGCAGGTGGCAGCTTAGCCCACTGCACTATGCTGGCCCCATTTATTTTGTTTGGAACTTTTCCTAACAAAACGCTGGGGGAAATATATACATGTAGTATCTGAAAAGTGCTGCTCCATCATTTTTAAAAACGTGGATGGGCACTTCGAGCTTGGGCCTGGATGGCCCCGCACACCTCCAAGCCCTCACCTCTGCGTGTCTGCCTAGCAGTCAGCTGTCACCATGTCTCCCCTATGTTACCTCTCGGGATCCGAGAGTTCAGGGCTCTGCAGGCCATTCCTCAGCCCCACCTCCCCTGTCCTCAGGACACCAGCTGGAAGGGGTCTCCTCTCCCTGGCCCCCAGAGTACCTTAGTAACAGAAACACAACCATTCCCCCAGGGACGGGAACAGACACTGGCAGCTACAACCCACCCTCTGCCAAAAAGGTAAACTGAGGTGCAGCAGGTGCGTCTCCCAGGGGCCATCACCTTCATGGTAGGAGCAGAGCGAGCAGCAGGACTGCTGTCTCCCAACCCCATGCATATAATTAGCTGGTGGGAAATGGATCAGGGAACAGATCTCATCTCTGCCTAATTAGGGGCTAGACAGCTGGGGCCAGGCTAGCTTGGGGGTGCTGCTCCTAGGCCAGGCAGCCCCAGGATGTGGGGCAGCAGCTGCAGCCCCTCAGGAGAGCTGCTCACTCTCGCTCACACTCCAACCTGGGAAAGAATGGAGGGGATGCTTCGGTGGTGGGTCCCCAGGTGGACGGGGGGGGGGGGGGGGATAGGTAGCAGCAGCCCCCTCCCCTCCACAAATCCCGCAGCGGCACCAGGCGGGGGAGGGGGGATGGGGGCGAGGTAAGGACAGGCCCGGCTCCTCCCTCACTTCCAAGGATCCCGCTCTGTTCTCTTCCCAGTAGACCCTGCCAGCACCCTTCTCGGCGGTCCCCTGGCCCAGCTTCTTGAAACAGCTCTGGTCTTAGGGCACAAGTTCCTGAAAACACCAGTGCACTTCCAAAGGTTCGTGGGAAAATGTGTGTTATAACACTCACGGGGTCTCTGCCTAGGGGACCCCAGCAACAGGGGCTCAGAATTCCCAAGGGGGGTGGCGGCACTGTGGCAGGGTAGGTAAAGCCACTGCCTGCAGTGCCAGCAGCCCATATGGGAGCTGGTTTGAGTCCCGGCTACTCCATTTGCAACCCAGCCCCCTACTAATGTGTCTGGAAAAGCAGCAGAAGATGGCCCAAGTGCTTGGGCCCCTGAACCCATATGGGGGATCGGGAAAAAGCTCCAGGATTCTGGCTTTGGATTGACCCATCTCCAGCTATTGCGGCCATTTGGGGAATGAACCAACGGATGGAAGACCTTTCTCTCTGTGTCTCTGCTTCTGCCTGTAACTCTGTCTTTCAAATAAATAAGTAAATAAATAAATCTTTAAAAATAAATTCTCAAGGGAGAATATTCCATCCTGACCACCAAAATAGAACACCATCAGTAAACCTGCTTTTAGAAATTTTTATTTTCATTTCAGTCCCCTCGTGCCCATGTGACATTATAGGATTCTCTCTTGCTACTCAGCTCTCTGCTGTCACCCCCAAACTAGCTCAGGAACAGCCTGCCTGACCCCCTGCTGGACTCAGTGCTCAAGAATAAAGTGACCACAAGGAGAGGTTGCCGGGATGAGAGAGAGGCCGGGGGTGTGCTGGGAGAATATGCTGACTGCTGAGTGTGGCCCCAAGTGTGGCCCCTGCAGCCCTGCCATGGGGCAGCCACGGGTCACACCTCCTGAGCCCAACTTCCAGCTCGAATACACCCGACCGTAGTGCGGTCACCTCGAAGAAGAGGGTGAGGCCAGTACTGCAACCTCCTCCAGGAATAAGGGGTCACCCACTGACCCTGGGACCTCAACCTCAACTTCTTCACATGGAAAATGAGGCCAACCCAGTTGGCTGGTGGGACTGGGAGAGGTGGGGGGCTGGGGGAAAAGAGGGTGCTGCCAGGTCACCGCAAGGGACAATTCCAGCAGGCGTGGGAGGGCCTGCACAGCCTGGCCCCACCTCTTTCAGCATGGAGATCCTGGGGGCCCAGCTCCAGCGCCCTGCACACTGCAGGCCCCTCTGCGCAGGTCGCCCACCTCCTCGTGCCTCAGCTCCCCTCTGGACCACAAGCAAGCACACTCCACTCTCAAGAGCTCGGACCCCATCCTCTTCCCTATTTCTCCCTCCTTCCCCACACCACCCAGGCCCATCGCACGCTCCTGGGGACTACTGATTGTGGACAGACAGACAGCTGGACTGACCTGGATGTTTGTCAACAGCCCAGCGGAAATCTCCTCTTTATGCTTAAAATAAAATCGACATCAAACCTGTCCCCGGGGCCCCCATTAGAGCTTCCTGTTTCTGAGAGCTGCAGCCAAGGCAGCCTCTGGGAGAGGAAGCGCCACCCACCCCTCCCCAGGCTTTCACCCTTTGTGTGCCCCGGTGTACCCTGGCCGCTCCGCCAGCCGAGGGTGCTGCTCCCCGCAAGTAACTCACCTGGAGGGAGACTGCAGGGGTGAGGCCTCTGAGCCAGCACCAGTGCTGCCCTCCTTTCCTCCGGAGTAGGGTACACATGAAGGGCCCGGAATACCCAGGAGGGAGGACCGGGCGACCCTAACTGTCCCACCCTCCCACGAGGCCCAGGGAGGAGACTGGCTGGCCCAGGATCCCCCAGAGTTCAAGGCAAGGCCACTCACTCTGCACTGCCCACCCCCAGTCCTCTTCTTCCCTTTACCGTCTGTGTGATAAGTTCCTCGTCAGCCCTCCCCAGGCTTCCTGCCTCCCTGGGACCTGGGCGGGGTGCAGGGGAGGGTCCAGGCACCCCCCCCCCCCGGCCCATCCCCTGCAGATCCCCTTCCCAGCACTGTTCCCAGCTCTGTGCTGACTCCCCCCTGTGGCTGGGCTGCACAGTCTCCTCCTCCATGCAGGACACCTGCCAGCCTCCCAGAGGGAGGAGTGATGAGGACACCCGCAGGGCCAGGTGCACACGTGCCCCCACAGGACCCCAGGGTGAACAATGGCGAAGACGTGAAGTTTGCACCCCACGGTTCTCCCACCCTTCCCCTGGTAAACACAGAAAGCCCTTGGGAAACAAGCACGTGTGTTTATTAACCAGGGGGAGGGAAATCAGAGCAGTGCAGGCTTCTAACCAGTCCTTCTTGTAGTCTATCCACCTAGGCCGACAGCCAAAGACCAGGAAGAGCAGTGGGCAGGCCCCGGGTCCCTGCCCCCACCCCAGGGTGAGTTGCCAGGGAGCGGGGGCCCTCTGGGTAAGGAAGAGGAAGTCGGCAAGGGTCAGAGGCCCAGGAAGGAAGGAGGAAATGGTCACTGGGCAGACAGGCTCAGCCAGATCCCCGGGCCGCTAACCCTCAGTGGGGAGGGCTGAGCACCCCACATCCAGCCCCACCAGAGAGGATACATTGGTGTCAAAGGCCATGAACTTGGGGGAGAGGGGCCCAAAGCCAAGAGCAACCCTCTCCAGGCTCAGTCCTAGCCAGAAGCTGCTGGTCCAGCCTCTCAGCCTTGGCCTCCAAACCAAGTTCCCCCAGGAGGTGTCCGATCTCCCATAGCTAGGGAGTGGATGCAAGAGGTCAAGGGCCAAGGGCCCCTCCAAGACGTGTCCTGCGGTGAATTCCCAGCGCAGCAGAGGCCTAGCCCTCCGCCGCTGGGGTCTCCCAGGCTTGCCGCAAGCCATAGAGCCACTTGATGACGCGGGCGTTGCGCTCCACCACCGACACGCCGTAGGGCACGCGCTCCCGGGCACGCTCCTCCACCGTGGCGGAGCTGCGCGGGGAGCAGCCGCCCTCGGAGCTGCCCGGCCCAGCACTGGGCCCGGCCAGGGACACAATGTCCGAGCTTGCCCGTGCCAGGTGGGCCACGCCCAACCCCCGTGCCTCCTCAGGGTCCAGGCCGCAGAAGTTAAAAAAGCGCTCGAGGTCGGCGGCCGCCCTGGAGAAGCGCTCGCTCAAGTCCGACTTGGAGCGCTGCAGGCCCGGCGGCCGGGCTGGGCTGGAGGCGGTGGCTGAGCTGGGCGACGGGCAAGGCTGGGCCGGAGATGCAGGCAGCGGGCGGACGTCCACTCTGCGGACCGCAGCCGTCGTGGGGGGCGGGCGTGGAGGCGTGGCTGGGGGAGCCTGGCGGACGCCTTCCGCCTGTGCAGGGGCGCAGCTGGCCTCGACAGGGGACACGGGACTATCACACAAGTTGATGAGGCTGCTAAGGATGTCCAGGTCCAGCTGGGGTCGGCGGCCAGGGCCAGGCAGGGCCCGGCGGCTGGGCGTGAGCACTGTGCGGCGAGTCCCGGGGCTGAAGAGGGGCTGTTTGGACAGCAGGGGCTGCACGGGCTCTTGGCGGGTGTTGGCCACATGCAGGCTCTTCACGTACTTAGCCTTGTCGGCCTCCAGGCGCTCCACAGCACTGGGTTTCCGGGCTCCACCGTCTGCTGGCCTCCGAAGCAGGTAACCGGGGACCTTAGTCCGCAGGCGGAAAGGCAGGGCTGGGGCGGCTGGGGCTCCAGGGGTCAGCGTGTCCACAGGCATGGCTGTTACATACCCCGAGGCGTGGGTGTATGGAGATCAGAGCAAGGAGACAGATTCAGGTAGAAAGCCGGCAGCTGGCAGCCCAAAACGGCATCTGGACGCCCGCAACGGCTGCGGTGAAGGAAAGAAAAAGGGGCTGAGCTCGCTCAGACAAAGGCTCGGCCAAGCTGAGCCAGGCAAAGACGCCTTCCCTATTATAAGGTGAAAGCCACGCCCTCTATTCATAGAGAGCCAATCGGCAGGCAAAGTCAACGCTCAAGGGCCTGTGGCCCCACCCACACCCCCTCCCTCCTGCGAAGTGGGTTTGGATAGGGAGGACCAGGCACAGCAGAGGCAGAGGGAGAAAAGGTGTGGGGGAAAGGCTGGGGAGGGCGTGCTGTAAAGCGAGCGTGCGGGCCCCAGACTGCACGGGCTCCAGCCAGCTCGGCCTCAGTGTCCTCTCAACAGCTCCACTTTGCAGCTGGGGAAACTGAACCCCGGGAAGCCACCAGTTTGCTTCAGCTAACCCAAAAATTGGTGGTGTTGAAGTTAAGGGACGAAGAGAAAGGGCTCCAGCCCCACACCCCACCTGGACTGCCCACAGGGAGCCCGTTTCCACCTCCAGCCCTCCGCCACCCAGGCAGGAAGCTGCTGTGTGCCATCATCCTGCCCGGGCACGCCAGGCCCCAGGCACAGGAGCACAGCATGTAGCAAACCTGCGCGTAGAAAATCCCCACCCCTGCCCAGTGGAGTCCAGACAACCTTCCAGTCCGGCACTCCCGTGCCAGGCCTGTCAGGTAGAAACGTCAGCCCCGAGCTACGCTGCTGCAAGAGAAGCCGGAAGTGCCCCAGATCACACAGCCCTGCACAGAGGCACCAGCAGACTCTCCACCGGCCCACAGCCATGGGACAGGCACTCACAGGCAGGGGGGAGAGGGGGCCGTGCCTGGGAGCCCCCGTGTCCTCATGGCTGCCCAAGGGACAGGGCCCAAAGCCCCAGACATCAAGCCAAACCTCTCCCTGTTTCCAAGGTAGGCCTGGGGCCCAAAGCACTCCCCACCCACCTCCTCACCCCCTGCTAGCCAGGCCCCCTGGAGATGGGGCAAAAGAAAACCCATACAGGGTGCTGGTGTTATGGTGCAGCGGGTTAAGCTGCTGCTCACGACACCAGCATTTCATATTGGAACTACCAGTTTGAGTATTGGCTGCTCTGATCCCAATCCAGCTTCCTGCTAATGCACCTGGAAAGACAGCAGAAGATGGCCCAAGTACTTGGGCCCCCACCACCCACATGGGAGACCAGGTCCTGGCTCCTGGCCATGGCCTGGCCCCAGACCTGGTTGTTGTAGGCATCTGGGGAGTAGGCCAGTGGGTGGAAGGTCTCAGTCTCACTCTCTCTCTCGCTCTGCCTTTCAAATAAATAAATCTTTTTTTTTTTTTTTTTTTAAAGAAAGAAAGAAAACTCACACAACAGGTCCTGAACCTTCTCATCTATAAATGGAGGGCACTTAATCTTGGGGACTGGCCGGTGCTGCAGCTCACTAGGCTAATCTTCCACCTGCGGCGCCAGCACTCCAGGTTCTAGTCCTGGTTGGGGCACCAGTTCTGTCCCAGTTGCTCCTCTTCCAGTCCAGCTCTCTGCTGTGGACGGGAAGGCAGTGGAGGATGGCCCAAGTGCTTGGGCCCTGCACCCGCATGGGAGACCAGGAGGAAGCACCTGGCTCCTGGCTTCAGAGGAGCTGTAGCAGCCATTTGGGGGGTGAACCAACAGAAGGAAGACCTTTCTCTTTCTCTCTCTCTCTCTCACTGTCTAACTCTGTCAAAAAAAAAAAATCTTGGGGACTTGCCATTCAGGTCATCTAACCAACAGCGGTCACACAGTCAACCTTACCCTCAAATTTAAATTAAGTAAAAACTTTAAAATTCAGTTCCTGAATCCCTCGAGCCACATTTCAAGTTCTCAATAGCTCCACTGGGGAGGGCGAGGGGACAGCATGTAGCACAGCTGGCATCCCATGTGAGAGCCTGTTTGAGTCCTGGCTGCTCCATTCCCGATCCAGCTCCCTGCTAATGCACCTGGGAAAGCAGTGGAGGATGGCTCAAGTGCTTGGTCCCTGCCACCCACGTGGGAGGCCTGGATGGAGTTCCAGGCAGGGCTCAGCCCTGGCATTGCAGCCATTTGGGGATTGGACCAGAAGATGGAAGATCTTTCTCTCTCTTTCTCTCTCTCTCTCTCCCCCTGTGTGTGTGTGTGTGTTAAAACTCTGCCTTTCAAATAAATAAAAAGAAAAACCCAATAGCTCCGTGGAGCCACCAGTCACCTCCCTGAACAGCAGAGAACAGAGAATCTGCACACATGGCAGAAAGCTGCATGGGACAGCCCCACCTAGACACCTGGCAACCCAGGAGGAAGCGAGCCTGGCAAGCTCGCACCATCTGCTCCTATCACCCCGACAAGACTGTGAGTCTTCGTCACCCCATTTTGCAGGTGGGGAAACTGAGACTCAGAGAAGTAACCGACCCAGGTTCAAGTCCATGTGAAGCCTACCCCACCACACTAACTTCCACCTGCACCTGTTTCTCCCCTCCCCCTGCCCCACCGTGGCTCCTTGCACACACAGACACACACACACAATCTCTTTTCTCCTGGTCATCTTCACAAGTACCATGTCAGTCATTCATTTCGTTGCAATCTTTGATGTCTCATCCCCCGAAAATAGCAGGGGGCCGGGAGTTTGTATCTATTGTGTTTACTGATCTCGGGTCTACAGTATTGCTTGGCTACTCACAAAACAGCCCATAAATATGCATTGAATTGGAACGCCTAGGGAGCCCATGAGGCCAGGCAGGTGGACACGCTGCAGGGGGCACGCCCCACCTGCTTCAGGCTCATGTGTCCAGTGTAGGGGGTTCCGTGGCCTAGGAAGCTGCGAAGCCAGCATACAAACTCCACTCTCTTAACTGCCAGCATGTTCAATAATAATAATTTTAAAAACACTGCATGTACTGGGCAGACAAAACACCTGGGTGAACGTCTCTGCCTCCCTCCACCACCTCCAGCTGGAGACCTACAAGTTGGGAGCAGAACCCGGGGGCGGCTGGCCTAGAGCCACTACTGCCCCTGAGGTATGAGGGCCGGCAGGGTTGGGAAAGGGCCCACCCCCCCCCCCCCACGAGACCTCCCCCATGAGACCTCCGCAGGGAAGGGTCTGACCGGAAGGACGGCCTTACAGGGCAGGTGGAAGTAGCAGCATTCTGCCCCACCCCCGGGCTGCCACCCAAACCAGTCCAACTCGTCGTGCGCGCGGCGGCTGCGGTTCCCTCCTGGGCACCATTGGGGACACAGAGGGAGAAAGGAGGTCCCGCGGGCAGAAGACCCTCGTGCGCCCCCCGTTCGGATGCCCTCCTTCTTGGACCCGCCCTACTGGCCCCAAGGCCAACCCCCTAACTGGCTTGAGGGCCTGGGGCTCGCCCACCCACCCATCCTGAGCCTTGCGCAAGCAGCCAGGGCAGTCTCCCAACAGACTTGGTTTCCTTATCTGTGAAGCGCAGTTAAAAATAGACTTTCCAAAGCCTTCAGGTCACCGCAAGGCTGGAAAGACCCAGCAGGTCAAGGACTTGCCTCAGCACCTGGCAAAACTGGGAACGCCCGGGGTCCCCGGGAAGGGTCGGAGCCCGCGGAAGCGGCGCGTGCCGTGTGACCTGCACAAGCCCCAGGTCACAGGCGGGACTTGGAGGTGCGGCAGCTCCTGCCAGCGAAGCCAGGGTCCCAGCGCCCAGGTCGGGAAGGCCCCACAGGCGCCAGCCCCGGGGCGCGCGGCCCCACCTCGCCGCTTCCCCACCGGCTCGCCGGCTCGCCGGAGCGTCTGCCGCGGAAAGCCGCGCAGGGCGGCCCGGCTTCTGCCCCCGCTCCTTCGGGGCAACCCTAGGGGCTGCCGGCGCAGAGGGGGGCCGCGAGTCGAGCTGTGCGACCCGCTCGTCGCCCCTCTCTGACCTCGGGTTGGCTGGCTCTCAAATGAGGAACGAGGCTGATGGCACCTCCCCCCGGCATCCCAAGTAGGGAAGCCAGGCCTGGACTGACCCCCACCCCTGCGGGGCGCCCCCCGCCCCCGCGCGCCTGTACCTGGCTGCACCGCGCCGCTGCCCTGAGTTCCTCCGGCCCGGCCCACCTGGGGCTCAGGTAACTCGCGTTTGCGCAACTTCCGGCGGCCGCGGGCAGATAAACCCGCCGGCCTGGGTATTATCGGAAAAATGGGAAGGAAAGCCAGGCAGGGGCCGGAACTCGAGCCCAGGCGTCCTGGCCGCTTGCCCAGCGCCGGAACCGCGTCCGATTCGCTCCAGGCCCGTCCGGGAGAACTCTCCCCGGGGCCCCGGAACTACCTACAGCACATTTGGTGAATGGAGCCCCCAGTGGCTCTCTCCGGCAAACGCACCCACCTCAGAGATGGAAAGACTGAGCCACACAGATGCCAGGCAAGGGAAGGGGTGTTCACCAGCCCATTCTCATCTGGCCAGACACCCCGGTGACAGTGACGCGAGCTCCATGGGTTTTGTTATCCCCACTGCAGGAATGGAAAACTGTGGCTGGGACAGACTGAGTCACTTGCCCCAAGTCACTGGGAGCCCGACCTGGGACTTGCCCCGAGGCCCAGGCTTACGGCCACCCCTTTCCTCCCTGCCCAGGCTGGGGGACCCCAGCCCTCCATGCCCCACCTTCCACTCCCTGGGGGCCGCAGGGTGCTGGCTGGGAGGAGCTCTGTTAACTGTCAACAGCAGTAAAGGCAGCAGCATAGTGCTACCAATAACTGGAGCTGTGAGTGGCAGGTGCTGTAGCCACTGAAACTCTGCACCCTCAGGGAAGGAGGAACCATGCAACCCCCACCTGCCGGCTGCCCCCGTGGCCCTGCAGGAAGGCAGCCAGGAGGAAGGTGACCGTCCCCTCTGCCAACTGTAGCCCAGCACATCACTGGGCACATTGATCAGGCCATTCTGACTGGCAGCCTGAGGCCCACAGGAGGAGGTACCCCCAACCTTCAGACCTGAGCCTGGGGAAGGCTCAAGAGGGTCCAGTTCTGTGCCTGGTGGGGGCTGGGGCAGGAAGTGACCCGGGTCACCTTTCATTCCCTCTCAGCATGAGGTCTCCCCTAGCCCTGGAAATTAGGGCGGGGGGTGACAAGTCCATCCCCAGCTCCCCCTACCCCCATGGCCTGCTGAGTCCCTGGCTGGCAGTCCACTGAGGCAGCGTGAGGACAAGGAGGAGGGTTCCCGCCAGCCCCAGCAGTAGTAACTGTCCGTCACCACACAAGGAAGAACGTTTGCTGTGTACCAGGTCCTTGTCTAAGCTCCTTCTATATGTAACTCATTTCACTCTCATCCCAGCCCTGCGCTGTGGGTGCCAACATTATGTCCATTGCACAGATGAGAAAACTGAGGCACACAGAGCTGGTAAGTGGTAGAGCCAGGCTCTGAACCCAAGCTTAGGACTGGAGAAAAGATGTGGAAGAGAACGTGTTCTCGCCCTTGAGCTTTGGCCACTCTCTCCACTGTGTCCCCCAGGAACACCGGGAGACCCTGCAGCCTCATTGCCTGGGTCCCAGCAGAAGGCACCTTGGGAAGCACTCCCTGGCTGTAGCTCTGGTCCTCCATTCCCTCAGCTACAAAACGGGGGCAAAACCAGCAATGTTTTCCCAAAAGAAATCGGAGCTCATCAGTGTGGTGCTTAAACCAGCTACGGTCACTTAGAATAAAAACCGGAGCTCCGGGACCTGGCCCTTGCCCACTCACCTCCAGTTCCTAAACAAACCATGGTCTTTCCTGCCTCAGGGCCTTTGCACCCATTCTTCTCCTCCCTCACCTCCTTCAGATCTCACGGCCAATGTCAGCTCCTCCCAGGCCACCCCGAGAGGCTCCCACCCACTTGCTCACCCTCTCACTCATTCTCCACTCACCAGCGTCTTAGACGCTCACTTGTCCATCACTTGTTTCCGGACTGGGAGCTCCATCTCACCCTTCCCTCTTTTCTTTCTCTAGGGACCAAATTCAAGAGGAAACACCGCTGACCAAGTGCCCAGGCCAGCTCAAAGGCCAAGATGTAAGCATTAAATACTTAGCAGCCTTTTTTGTTATGTCGGTGATAGCTCAAGTTGTTGAGCGAGAGAAGCAGGTTAAAGAGCGGTCAGCGAGGCAGAGTGGTGCAGTGTCCCAGTGCTGGGCTCTAACCACAGTGAGCCCTCATCATGTCTGCCGGATTCCTCTCGGGCAGCTCTGATTTTCCCTTTGTCGTTAATAATTCTCTCGTAAGAAGGGGGGAAAGGACAACCCCCACCTGCTATTGGCCTTTTATTTTCCTCTTTAAAAAAAAAAAAAAAAGATTTATTTGAAAGGCAGAGTTCCAGAGAGCGGGAGAGAGATCTTCCAACCACTAGTTCACTCCCCAAATGGTGGCAATGGCCAGAGCTGAGCCAGGCCTAAGAGGAGCCAGGAGTTCCACCTTCATCTCCCACACAGGTGCAGGGACCCAAGGACTTAGGCCATCTTCCGCTTGCTCAGAACTGGAGCAGGTGGGACTCAAACCAGTGCCCCGCTGTAGGATGCCGGTGGCCTCGGCTGCGTCGTAACTCGTCGCACCACGATGCCAGCTCCGCCGCTGGCCGCCCCAGCCTGTCCCATTCCTCCAGCCTCAAGTCATCTCTGTGCAAGTGTGGCTCTGGCCACTTCTAGCCAAGCCCTGTCCTTTCCCCAGAGACACCAAGGCCTTGCCCATGCCACTCCTGTCACCTGCAGTGCCCCTTCTGCCCCGTCTCCTTGGCCACCTCTCCAGGGGCAGCACAGGCCCCAGGCCCTGGCTGCGTGGATTCAAATCCCAGCTCCACCAATGATCAGCCATGACTTCTGGGCTAAGAGACTCAGTTTCTCTAGGCATCAGTTTCCCCAGATGCAGAACAAGTCTGCAACAGTGCCTCCCTCCTAGCACAAGGCCTGTGCGTGACCGCACACAGCCACCATGGTGTGAGCTGTGATAGGATTCAGCCAAGGCCACGCTCCAGCGCCCAGCTCCTGGGTGAGGCCTGGAATGCCGACCCACTACTCATAGGGGTTTCAAGTCGCAAGAGTAGCCCAGGAATGGTTAAGAGCACACAGCTCTTGGTGTAGCAACTAAGATGCAAAGTCCCAGCTCCTTTGCTTCTGGTCTGGCTCTCGACTAATGCACAGCCTGGGAAGCGGCAGTGATGGCTCAAGTACCTGTGCCACCGTCACCCATGCAGGAGACCCGGATGGAGGGCCAGGCTCCTGGCTTTGGCCTGGCCCAGCTCTGGCTGTTGTGGACATTTGGGAAGTGAGCCACTGGATGGAAGATAACACACTCTCTCTCTCTCTCTCTCTCTCTCTGCCTTTCAAATAAAATGACAAATAAATATTAAAAAAAAAAAAAGAGTATAAGGGCCAGCATTGTGGCATAAAGAGCAAAGCAGCAACACCAGCATCCCATGTGGGGACCAGTTCACGTTCTGGCAGCTCCACCTCTGACCGGCTCCCTGCTAATGGCCTGGGAAAAACAGCAGAAGCTGGTCCAAGTGTCTGTGCCCCTGCACCTGTGTGGAAGACCCAGATGAAGCTCCTGGCTTCAGCCTGACCCAGCCAGGGCAGTTGTGGCCATCTAGGAAGTAAACCAGCAGATGGAAGCTCACTCGCTCTCTCTCTCTCTGTCTCTTTCTCTCTCTCTCTCTCTTTAAAAAAAGCACAGAGCCACTTGAATAGACACTTGTCCAAAGAAGACATACCAATGGCCAACATGAACACAAAACAATGCTCATCATCACTAATCTTCAGGAAATGCAAAGGAAAACCACAAAGAATAGCAGCAAATCACACCCACCAGGTGGGGATGTTGGGAAATTAGAATCTTGTTCGTTGCCAGTGGAGATGTAAAATGGTGCAGTCACTGTGAGAAGCAGTATGGCAGTTCCTCAAAAAACATCAGCACAGGGCCTGGCGCTGTGGTGCAATGGGTTAAGCTGCAGTCCACAGTGCCGGCATCCTATACGGGCACTGGTTTGAAGCCTACCTGCCCCGCTTCCGGTCCAGCTCCCTGCTAATGTGCCTGGGAAAGCAGCACAAGATAGCTCAAATCCCTGGGTCCCTGCCACCCACATGAGGAAGCTCTTGGCTTTGGCCTGGCACAGCCCTGGCCGTTATGGCCATTTGGGGAGTGAACTAGCAGATAGAAGCGCGCGCTCTCGCTCTCTCTCCTTTCCTTCTCTGTAGCTCTACCTTTCAAATAAAAATAAATAAACATTTTTTTTTTTAATGAGCACGGAGTTATCCTAGGCTCATCCAGTAATTCCACTGCTGAGCACAGACTCCCATGGAATCGAAAGCAGGGACTCAAGCAGACATTTGCACACCCACATTCCTCGCAGCCTTTCACAGCCTGAGCGTCCGCGGTGGATGAAAGGCCACAGAAAACGTGCGACTTCTGTAGAACAGTCAGCCTGAAAGAACAGGGCAATTCAGACGTGTGGTATACGGGTGAACCTGAGGACACGGTGCTGAGTGAAATATGCCAGACCCCAGCCACACATTCTATGAGTCCCTTTACATGCAGCTCCTAGCAGGGTCAAATTCATAGACTGAAAGTCACGTGGTGGCTGCCCGGGGCTGAGGGGTGGACACAGGAAGTCATCGTTCGTCACGGTACGGAGTCTCAGATGGTGGAGATGAGCACTGGGCACCCGGCGTATGCTAACGCCACTGAATCATGTGCTGCGAGGTGGCAGGAATGCCCGATGGTATTCTCCATACATTCACCACACTCGCAACAGTGTAGCACCTGGAGCTGGTCTCCCTGGATTCACACTCCCCGGCTGGCCCAGTGACCCCACAAACCGTTAAACCTGTCTGTGCTCCGCTTCCCAGGAGGCCAGACCTGATGACAGCAGGAACTCCTCGGGTGGCAGAGTGGAGGGAGCTGAACAAGTGCACACTTGTCAAGTGCTTAGCACATAGTCAGCGTTCAAGTGGTGCTGGGAACTTTGGTCCTCTGTGGAGTGGGCAGGAGGCCCCTCCCCTTCCTTCCACCTGCTTCTCTCCTGGCCTTGGGTGCAGACGGTGAGGCCCTCGCCTGCCCCAGCAGAGGATCAGCAAGGCTCCAAGCAGTAGCAGCCGCAGCTCGGTTTCAGCCCAGCTGTCCAGGGCAGAGACACCCGGCTGGGCGTCCTCCAAGGCCACGCTAGGCCTCAAGCTATTTCTGGAGGCTTCCCAGACGCTCGTGCCCTGGCCTGCCCAGGAGCCGGCCTTGCCCTCGTCTCAGGAAGGCAGAGCCGAGCAGGCTGTGGGAGGGGTGTGGGTGTGGATGCCCAGGGCACTGAACTCCTGCCTGGCCTGCCCGCATGCCCGCCCCCAAGGACCCAATCTCCCGGGCCTCAGTTGGCACCAGAGGTTGCAAAATGAGGACAGAGGGGCTCGTAGTGGGAATGGAACGAGAGACACCACACACAGGGCCTCGGGGAAGGGCCCGGCCCAGGATGCGGAGGCTGGCCGTTGAGGCAGGCGCACAGCCAAGCCCACTTCACGGCCTAGATTGCCCTCTGCTCAGACCTGAGCTCACCATCCTGGCTTCTCATCTCAGCCCAGAGATGTGAAGAAACTTGCCAAAGTCACACAGCAAGTCAGAGACAAG